AAATGAAATTATTACAACAAATTAATTAATTAAATGAATAAGCTTGATGGATGGCAAAATCAGTGTTTCTCCCATCAGCAGCTCACTTCGTCACTCTGGCATTGATATACCTGGTTTGCATCCTCTCTCTCTCTCTCTCTCTCTCTCTCTCTCTCTCTCGGATTTGCTAGCTTAACCACAGAGCTATAATGAACACCTCAGCCTTTGCTGTCTCTGCCACTTTTTCTTCTTGCCACTATGAACTGTAAGGCCCATCTGTCTTCCTTGTAGCTCACTCACTTCCCCAGGAACTACTGCTCGCACTGTTTTAATGAGCATTTATTATAGGGCTTTTCTTCCATTTATTGCGTGGGAAAATTCCCTTTAGTAATGATTAAATTATTCTGAGGTACTACCTCATACCTGTTAGATTGGCTAGTAAGACAGAAAAGGTAAATGACAAATGTTGGAGGGAATGTGGGAAAAATGAGACTTTAATGCACTATTGGAGTTGTGAACTGATTCAACCATTCTGTAGAGCAATTTGGAACTAGGCCCAAAGGGCTATAAAACCATGCATACTCTTTGACCAGCAATACCGCTACTAGGTCTGTGTTCCAAAAGAGAGAAAAAACAAAAAGGAAAAGGACCTATATGTACAAAGGACCTATATGTACGCCCAGAAAAGAGCTGGGGGTAAAGAATTAGAAGTTGAGAGGATGTCGATCACTTGGGGAACCACTGAACAAGTTATGGTATGTGGTTATGATGGAATACTATTATGCTATAAGAAATTATGAGCAGGATGCTCTCAGAAAAATGTGGAAAGACTTGCATGGGTTGATGCAAAATGAAATGTACTGTGTATAAAGTAGCAGCAATATTGTAAAATGATCAGCTGTGAATGACTTAGCTATTCTCAGCAATACAGTGATCCAAGACAACTCTGAAGGACTTATGATGAAAAATGCTATCCATCCCCAGAGAAAGAATTGATGGTTTCTGAATACAAATTGAAGCATACAGTTTTTTTTTAAAAAATATATACTTTCTGTAATTTTGGTGAGGCAATTGGTTTTAAGTGACTTGCCCAGGGTCACACAGCTAGTAGGTGTCAAATATCTGAGGCCAGATTTGGACTCAGGTCCTTCTGACTCCAAGGCCCCAGAACTCTATTTACTGTACCACCTAGCTGCCCCTACTTTCCTTATTTTTCTTGAGTTTTTTTTTGTCTATGTTTTCTTTCACAACATGACAATTATGGATATGTTTTGCATTACTACACATGTATAACCTATATCCAATTGCTTGCCTTCTCAATGGGGGGGTGGGGAGGGAGGAAAGGAGAGAATTTGGAACTGAAAGTTTTTAAAATGAATATTAAAAATTGTTTTTACATCTAACTGGGGGAAAAATAAAATACTAAATAAATATTAAAAATAAATGTACACAAGGAGAGAGGAAAAAAAAGAAATGATTCAATTATGGTGTCATGAATCCTATCTGCCCATACCTGTTACATGTAGAAATGTTGGGGTAATATCATCAGACCTGGGTTTTAGGGATGCATTGATGATCCTGCAGACCCAATAAAAATGCATATAATCCTTAATTTAACTATAAAACCCTAGTCCATCAGACTTGGTTCTCCCCTCTTCTTTGTACCATCCTGGTCTAGCTTCTTCTAACTTCTATAGCAATTATTGTTTGTATAATTCATTGGGGGTAATTAAACACATACTGCTTTATGACTGCTTTTCTATTGTTGTCTTGAAGGGTTATTTGAGGACTCCTAGGAAAAACTGTTTTTAGGTCCTTTGGAGGCAGCTGTCAGATGTCTAGAAAACAAACCCTGCTATTCAGAGAACTTGTTCATCAGGAGCAGGTCATGCCAGACTAACCTCATTTCATTGTTTGACAAGATTAATAGATGTGTAGGTTGATCAAGGGAATTTCAAAGATGTAGTACACCTGGATTTCAGTAAGGCATTTGACAAAGTCTCTCATGATATCCTTGTGTACAAGGCAGAGCGAAGGTGGCTAAATAATAGACAGTTAGAGAAAATGAAAAATGATGGAAAAAGTGGCACCACCACATATCTAGAGATCTAAGTTTACAACCTTCTGTTTTTCACTTTTCCTTACCTTCCCCCCATCCAATTAGCTTCCAATTCTTGTTGATTAGATCTCCCCCTCCCCAATCCATCCTCCACACACCTACCTAAGTGATATTCCATATCTCTGGTCATGTCACTGCTCTGCTTAGTAAGTTCCAGTGGCTCCCCTTTATTGCCTTTAGGATCAAATGTGAACTCTTCTTTTTTGTCATTTAAATTTCTTCACAGTTGAGATAATATTTAAAAAGTAAATAAACAAATGAAAGACAGTTCTATTCAGATGAATTGCAATGAACAATTTTGAACAGATAATGAAATTTTTTTCTCTCTTTCTCTACTGATGGGTATCTTCATGGCATTCTTCCTTCTACCACCTCCAGCCTCCACTTCTGATCTGGTACTTCAGTCCTTGCCCTGTGGCCCTGGAATCCTGATCAGGTAAGAGTTCTGCATATCTACCCCAGCCCTGACTGCTAACCTCCCCCCTTCTATTTCATGCTTTGCAAACAATAATTAAATCCCTTCCCACCTTTCCCCTTTCCACTCCTGTCTCTGGAAATAATAATCATCTCAGTGCTATAATTCCTGGAAAGAATAAGTCCATCAATTGTCCTGGGCCTCATTTCATGGTCCCTGTGGCTTCCCAGACCAAAATCACCTTCCTTGGCTACCACTCTCCTATATGTTCTATGTATTTTCTTACCCTATTAGAATTTAAATTTCTGGAGGGGAGCAATTGTCTTACCTTTTAAATTTGCATCAGGTCAAGGATGACTCCAAGGCTGTAAACTTAGACAAATAGAAGGATGATACCTACATTAGCATAAATCAGAAGGATTGGAGGAGAGATGAATTTTGGAGAAAGATGAGTTCTGTTTTTGAACTTGTGATAACATCCAGGTGGAGATATCAAGAAATTAGTTGGTAATAAAGGAGTGGATGAAATTCAGGAGAGATTAGGGTTGGATACAGAGAATTAGGGGTCTGCAAGTAGAATCTTTAAGTAGCTCCTGGGGAAGCTAATGAGATCTTTGAAGAAGAGATTATAAAGAGCAAAAACGGACCAGGACAAGCTTTGGAGGACCCCCATACTTAGTGGCAGGGTAGAGGATAACAATTGACTAAAGGATATTGAGATAGAATAATCAGACAGGTAGGAGGAGAACCAGTAGAAAGAATACAAGTTCCTTAAGGGCAAACACTATTATGTCTTTATATCAACAGCACCTATTTACAATGCCTGGCACTGTAGTAAGCACTTAGTGCTTGCTGGGTTGCACCGAACCAGAGAGATCAGTGTCATAGTCGATAAAAGAAAAGAGAGTGTCAAGGAGTTTAACAGTGTCAAAAGCTGTATAGAGGTGAAGTAGAATAAGAACTAAGTAAAAACTATTGGATTAAGCAGCTGAGATCATTGGTAGTCTTGGAGAAATCAGTTTCAGTCTGCTAAATGGAGTAGGAAGCCAGATTGCAAGAGCTTAGATTAAGTGGGGAAAGTGGTATGTGTGTATGTGATGGAAAAAATGGTGGCAACAAGTGTAGATAAGCCTTGCTAGCAGGGTGGCTGTGAGAGGGGGTTAAGTCCAATTTCATTCTTGGTTCTGCTGCTGCCTTCTAAAATGATCTATGTTAGCCATAAGTGGTCTCTTGTCTCAGTTTGCACACTTGTAAAATAGTATTGCAAATCTCTGCCTTATCCAAAGGAAGTTAATTGCTGGGTTGTGGGCCCACAAAGTCCAAATTATAATGGTAATGCAGCGTTCAAGAACCAAACTGTTTTACCCCATTAGGAGGTAGCAAGAAGTTCTGATATATCAGACTCTTAAACATGGATATGATCTATGCCTGAGAAAACAGCCCTGCCAAATATGGCAATGGAAATTATTAAAGTTTCTTGAGGGAAAGATAGATGGCTTTTCCCACATAATACACATTCAGCAAGGAGTTGTGATTTCAGCAGCAGGGGATTTCCAACGTGGGAAATTCTATCAACTCTCAAATCTCAACCCTACTGTGACTAACTAACTAGCAGTGGCCTGCAGTGCATAGAAGTTAGGGTCACATTGCTGGTGTCAGAGACTGGGTTTGAAACTAAGTCTGCCTGACTCCAAACGCTCCACTCTATCCACTCTGCCAGGCTGTTTTGTTTTTACAACGACTATTATTTATTTAACAATAAATACTTCTACAAAATAAAGACTTATCCTTCAAAAGATAAGACTGTCACTTAAACGTCTTTAGTTCGAGCTGTGATTTGTTCTTCCAGTAGAGGCGATATATTTACGTGGGCCGCTATTGGGGGTTTGTAATTAATAGCGTCTCCTTGTCTTTGAAGAAGACCCAAGAAAAATATAACTGAGTCTGGCACATGGATAACTCATTCTCACTTCACGCATTCTTATTTTTTTAAAAAATTCCTTCTGTATTTTTTCTTTTTCTCCAGGGAAGAGGACGAATAGGCGAAACGAGTCATTTACCTCTTAAAGTCGTACTCTGTGGCTCAGCTCGTACGTAAGTTAATATACCGAAATGTTATAATTGTTATTACTAACAGCTACTAGCGTTCTGGCTCGTGAGAAAGAGCTGGCCAAACTCGGACCTAAATAACTTTCGCCAGGGTCCCCGTGGGGATATGGGAGGAAGAAAAGGCGTTTGGAAGCCCGAGCAGGGGGAAGAGCTGTGGCCAGAGGGGTGCCCCCATCGCTAGCCATCCTCCTTGCACAGCATTGCAGGGAGCCGGGGCGGGGGACCGGGACGGAGCCGATGCACACCTCCCCGCCCTTGCCTCGCCTCCCCTCGCCTCGTCTTGCTGCCCAGACCCGCCCACGTGAGGCCGCAGCCCATCAAATGGCTCGGTGCAACGTGTTGGCGGCGGCTGCGCGGGCTCTTCCGGCCTCCGCCGTTTCCTGCAAAGCAGAACCCCCCACCTCCTGCTCGGCCCCTTGTCTTCTCCAGCCTGCGACCCCGGCAGCTTCCCCTGGCCCGGCCCAGCCCAGCGCGGCCCCGGCTGAGCGCAAGGCTCTGGTTAGCTGCAGCCGCGAGCATCATGAGAGCGCTGCCTTCGCCGGTGCTGCTCTTACTCCTGCTGGCTCCCGGAGCCTGGGCTAGCGTATTCTTCCCTTCGCCCAAGCAGCAGCCGCAGCCTCAGCCGCCTGTGCCGCCGGAGGTAAGCCCCTGGTCGGGGCCGGGGAATGTCACCCAGCTGGAAGGAGAGGCGGCGGTGGGCGGCAGCGCCAACCGGAGTGAGACCTTGGTGACCCGCATCTCCAGCCTGCTCCGGGACCTCCCCACCCTTAAGGCGGCCGTGATCGTGGCGTGCGCCTTCACCTCCTTCCTCATCGCCTGCCTGCTGCTCCGGGTGTTCAGGTAGCTTCTTCTCAGCCCGTGCCTGGGCTGGCCCTCTCCCGCCCGCTTCCCCTCTCCTGCGTCCCCCTGTCTGTTCTCATGCCAAGTGATGAGGTGTGTTCTAGGAGAGGGCCTTGGAGAGCACCAGCAGGGTCGGTGTCCTTGATCCTGGAGATGCTTTAGGGCCGCCACAGCTGGGCAACAGCTGTCATTATAATCAGTTTGAGACACATCAAGTCGTATGCTTGGTTTTCTACGGAAATCTCGACTCTTTGCTCTAGGGTAATTGTAGCAAATTGGGATCCCCATTCCCTGGGGTTGATGTTATTCTATTTGCAGTGGTGTTTCGATTTTTATATAATTTGGCAGAAACTTTAGGACTACTCCATGGACACCTTCAGCCCTTTGGGCCTCAGTTCCTTAGTGTATGAAATGATGGCGATCTTCAAGGTTCCTTCAGACTCTGGAATGCAGTGGTTTTTGTGACCCCTTTGCTTTCTGCCCCCCTTTTAGTGTTTCAGTTGATGTCCTTCCTCAGCCAAAAAACTCTCTGCCTTTCAGGCTTTTCTTTTTAGCTTCCATGGTCCCTGCCTTTGACCTCTGATGGCTTTTCTTCCGATCTGCTTTTTAGCCTCCGAGAAGAGTTTGTGAATCGGAGTACACAGGTGCTGCTACAGGCTGGGTGTTAAAAGGGTTGGAACTCCACAAAAGGGAGTCTCAAGATTTATTTGCTCTAGTTGTGGCTTTAGCATTAGTTCTTTGTGTGGCCAGGCAGCTCATTTTCTCAGCGTAAATAATCCCATTTTCTCTCCCTGTCCCCTCCCCCTTCTCCCTCTACAGATTTAAGAAAGCCATAGAAAGAGCATTGCCTGGGGCAGCTGAGTGGCAGAGTGGATACAGTGCTGGCCTTGAAGTCAGGCGGACTTGAGTTCAAATCCCGGTCTCAGACCAAACACTTGACACTAGCTGTGTGACCCTGGGCAAGTCACTTAACCCCAACTGCCTTAAAAAAAGGAAAGAGCATTGGTCTTATAGTTAGAAAAATCATAATATTATCCCATTTGATCCTTTCCACAACCTTGGGACATAGGTGCTATTATTACCCCCATTTTGGGGTTAAAACTGAGGCAGACCGAGGTTGAATGACTTGCCTAGGGTGACAGAGCTGGTGCTGAGGCTGAATTTGGACTCCTGACTCCAGGATCAGTGCTCTGTGCACTGTACCACCTAGTTGCCTCATCAGAAGACCTGTTTTTTAAATTCAAGATCGCTTATTTGTTAGCTTTGTGTAATAGTTGGAACTTTTCTGAGCTTATTTCATTATTTATAAAACAAGGATGACAGTACTTGTGCTACTTGTATCACAGAGGTGTTCTTTTTTTTCGGTCTATCTATGATTTCATCTGTGTACAGGACTCACCTTCACCTGTGAAGATTAACAATCCATTTGTAAAATGAATTGCCTAGGAGATTTTGAGTTGCTCAAGGTCACATAGCTAATATGTATCAGAGAAAAGACTTAATCTTAGACTTCTTTATTCCAAGGTCTGTTTACTTACACCATGATGGCCTCTCTTGTTGGACCAATCTAACCCAATCTCCTTATTTTACAGTTGAGGAAACTGAGTCCCAGGGAGGTTAATGACTTACCCAGGGTCAAGTTAGTAAGCAGCATAGCTGGGGATTTGAACCCAGGTTTTTTGACTCCAAATTCAATATTCTTTCCAATGCATCATGCTCTCATGGTTGTTACAGAGAAAAAGATAATGTCTGTAAAAGTGCTCGGTGACCATAAAGCGCTATGTAAATAGAGGCTATTAATTTATTTATGATAACAGAGTAGATTAATTGGGATATAAATAATGAGACTCAAAAGTTGAGTAAGTGAAACAAGGTTGCACACTAAGGAACTTATAAATGAAAAGTTTATAGATTTTAGGGCCAAGATAATGGGTTGATTATATTTCAGGCTGCATGTGTGGTGGTGGTGATGGAGAAAGGAGTGGTTTTGTGTCTGAGAGTAAGTGGAGGAGTTCATGTTCACCATGGGGAACGGTGTATCTGTGTGTGGCCATACAATAATGCGCTGAAGTGGCATTTTGTGTAATGGCTGCAAGATGTTGATCCTGCATGAAGTGTAACAAATATGTCTTGTTGCTCAGCAGAGTTCAGCTGCCTGTAACTTGTAGGGGGTGAGGGTTTCATGGGTCAGGCACCTCCATCTCTGGGCTAGCAAACGAACACTTTGATGTCTGTTGTATTCATAGGAGCCCGTATGAAACCAGCCACTCAGTAATTGTTTGAGCACCATCAACAGTTGGGAAGAAACTTAGGTAGGAACTTTAGGGTTCTTGATGAAACTTTTTGATTCTTTGCTGCAGAACTTTGGGTAAAGGGTTTTCCTTATGGAGAAATGAAAATAAACAACACACTGTGTCCCAGAAGTAAAGAGACCATGAAAAACAAGAGATGGGAAACCATAAATCCCAGAGTTCTGCTGGCTTTCCAGTTGGAGAACTTAAGTGGCCAGAGAAGCAGTTGCTTGGAGATTTCAGTTGCTAGCTGGGGCCAAAACATGAAACCAAACCCATAAGTCTAAAAAAAAATTAAAGAAAATATTTTAACTCTTCAACCAGCATGCTCCTTGTTATTGCCCCAAGAATGGGAAATAGAATATAAACCAGCATGGCTCCAGATGTGAAACGACTGCCCTGCATATTTGAGTCATGCAGCTTACTCTACTGGCTAGAAAGGGGGTGGATTCTTGTTTACTTGGGAGTGGAATGATAAAAAGAGATTAGTCTTGCTGAGAAACAGCTGTCATGGCAAACTGATTGGTGTTCTCTCCTGTTAGACCATTTTTATTTGAATAAGCTTCTGCTCTTATACCTGTGGGCAAGAAGAATCTAATTAACCACTGCCTATGTTGGCAAAAAGGAAACTAACCATAGACTCAGTAAATCTGATACTTAAAAATGCTACTTTTAGGAAATTCATTTTCAATTTTCTTTGACTTGTATTTCCTAAGGATAGCTTGCATGGCTAATTGTTATAAAGCTGGATTAGAACTGATAGCCTAAATGAATGTGCCGGTTTTTTTTTTTTGAGGAGGTGGGGGTGAAAAATCCTTCACCTAGCACAACCTAAGTACCTCATTTCTAGGTGTTTTCACTCTACTGCCTTCTTATAAGCAAATACTTCAGTTAGGCTTCATTGCTTACCATCCCCATTCATGTCCTGTACTTTCCTTTTGCTATGTTTTTGTTTCCGTGGTTCTTGTTGAAAACCCCCACCAGGACTTTAATGACCCAAATTCCACTTCCTTCATGAAACCTTCCGTGCTCCTTTACATCAGGGCCATGATCTCTTCCTCTGAAACTGTCAGCACTTTATCCATTACCCCTACAGTTATCGTATATTCTAGTGATATAGGTATTTGTCTAACTGCTGTTTTCCCTACTAAATTGTAAGCTTCTTGAAGGCTTATTTCTCATTATTTCTCACCTCTACAAGCACAGTGGCATGTACATAGTAGGTATTGATTGAATGTTGAAAAATAGAGATGATGTGGGAAAAAATGGAAATAGTGTTTGCAAAGTTGTAGGTACCTCCATTAAGTGAATCATCTAATCCAAAAACAGGGCTTGAAGAAGGAAAAAAGGAGGAGTCAAAAGAATAGATCAACTGGAGGAAGTGGTGCCTTTGTTTTTTACTTTCTCAAGGTAAAAATAGTAGCTCCTGGGCTGCCCCCAAAAGTCACTTTTCCTCTGGCTTTCCTCCTAATAATTCTTTACTTTAGTTCCTGGTGTGGAGATCGTAGGTCAGATTTAGAGCTGAAAGGTACTTTAGAACTGTACCAACACTTGCTCTTCCAGCCCCACATGTTTTCTGAATATAAATATACCAGTTCTGCCGTTTTCTCAAGGCATGTAAGGTCTGGTGAGACTGGACCAAAGGTTCTAAAAATAAGAAGAGTATTGTCAATCTGTGATTTACAAATGCCCAGCTTACAAATTACACATCTGTAGCATGGTTACTTCTGTCCTCCCCTTCCCAGATTTTCTCATTACCAAATAAACTGTGCTTTTAGATGTGAAGCAAGGGAAGGAGCTAGATAAAAAGCATGATAGCTGAGGTAAACTGACCTAGTGGAAGGCTCCCGGGCAAAGTGGCCTGCCTGGAAGGTGATGTTTCCTTTCTGAAGGACAACTGATCTAGAATTGGAAGGAACCTCGGAAGCCAATCCCCCTCATGTTACAGATGAAGAAACTAAAGCCCAGGGCACTAAAGTGAAAACACAGGTAATCTGTTATAAATACAATACTAAATGTCAATATGCCCAGTAAGACTTACTTCACAACTGTGTACATTGAAGTAAATGGGTTTTGAGGCATAAAATGGCATCACTTGACTCTTCAGAATTATTTGTCCATTTGCTCCCATTTAGTTTCTGCTTAAATAGCTATATTTAATGTGTATTCTTCTACTTGTTCAACCACTTCTCTAGAAATCACTATGAACTCCTATCTGAAAGGAGAGTTTTCTTTGGTTCTTGGGGTTGGGCAATATAGGTCAGCTAACGTTTCCCAGTTTGGATCAGTGGCAAAACTTTGAGGTGGGATTCTTTCCTTGTGGAGGGAGACTTCTGAGACCCTGAGAATTCTGTTTAGGTTGTGTACTAGGCAGAATCTAAACAGTAAATAAAACAAAACATCCCCCTCCTCCTTTGCCCCCTTTCACCCTATCCCAAATAGACTAGTTGTTGCTTATAATTTGTCATCTCAATTACATGAAAAAAAAATCCCCCTGTATCTTTGTCAACAAAAAGGAGCTCCACTGACTATTTTTATGAATTTAGAAGAGAACATCAATATTCCTTTGGTTTGTTTATTGTTATAAAAATACTGTAGACCTGAACCGTTTATTGAGTGTTTTATGTTTCATAATGTAATAAGGTGTTAAAGTATCATAGTGGATAGAGTGCTGGACTTGGAATCAACAAGATCCTAGTTCAAATATTG